TACTGGAGAGAGATTAGATACTTGCCAAGTAGGTCCACGATTTTCCTCTTTCCATTGTCGCATCTTCTTTAGAACGGTATCGCTCTCTTGTTCTTCCCTAATTTTAGCAAGGGCCCATTCATCGTTGACTACAGTTGTTCTTAGTAATCCACTTTCTTTGGATTCCGCTTTGTTGCAGTGGGAGCACTCTGCTGGACACGGTCGTCTAGAACGAGAATCGGCGTTTCTGTGACTTATTCCGGCTCGATGTTTAATCTTAAAGTCGTACTCTTGAAGTCGTACTCTTGAAGTCGTTCAATCCATCTGGCGATTTGACCCTCCGGGTTCCTAAATTGCATCAGCATAATCGGTCCGGATTAAAAATTTCCTTCCGTACAGGTATTGGTAGAAGTATTCCACGCACTTTACAACTGCCAGGAGTTATCTTCTTGTGACGCAGTAATTTCGTTCAGGTTTCAAAAGCACTTTACTAAAAATACCCTGGTACTCTTTTTTTTCCTTCCTGGATCTATGAAAGTACTCCTCCAATTCCCACATTACTAGTATTAGTATCCAGGATAAATTCTCCTTCTGGTAGTAGGTAGCCTAGTATCGGTGCTTCTTTAATGTTTCAAAGGCAGTTTGGCAGTCATCGTCTCAACAGAATTTCTCGGTTTTTCTGTGAGTCGTGTTAATGGCTTAGCAATATCTGCAAGACTATAATGTCTTCAAATATACCAGGCATGTTTTTCATGATACCCTCAATACATTTTTCATAAGTCTTTAAAATGTCGTGGGGGTATTACACAATGACATATATAGTTTAAATAGACTGCTTATCCATACGTAAATAAAACGATGAAAAGCGGGTCGAACTGGGAGATGTTTTCTCTTTGTCTAGTGCATGCAATGTTTGTGTTTTGTCTCAATTTTGAGTGCTCACTGGTAAACAAACCTTTCACAGGACCGGTTTTAAAGAAAGTTTAGTCTAGTTGAGATTTTGTTCTCATTGTCATTACTCAGTCGGACATTTTGTTGAATTGTTTATTTTATTTAGTTTTAATTATACTTATGTTCTGTTTTAAGTTTTTTAATTATTTGAGTGTAAAAACTTGTTTTGTTTTTAAATTTAAATGGTGAATTGCTCTATAAAGGGTTGTAAGACCAGCTACAGAAATATAAAAAGTAACATTTCATTTTTCACGCAAGTATCAATACAAGTAGGTACAAGGTAAATACGTTTATAATAATTTTATGAATTATAATTAATTATAATAATAATATTAATAATAAAGTATTTATTGTAAATACAATTACATAAATATTATTATATTCAAAGGCCCGAGTTAGAGCTATCTGGGCTTTACAAGTACATTTTAAAAGTTAGTTAGATAGAGAGAAGTATCGTATAATAAAAACTCAATATAAATAGAAGAAAAACGGACATAAGTACCAATACAGAGAGACAAACACTTTTATTCTTTGATAGGTTCTTTCTATGTGAATTCTAGCTCTGGCAATTTTGGCATTAAGTAAAGCCTCTTGATGGCTGAACTGATTTTTTTTTATTGAGGAAAGGAGGCTGTATAATTTGTATACCTTCAGCTTCTGTTATGTTTCCAATAAGAAAACCTTTGTTAAACATTTTACTATCGATAAATGATTCACACACTTCAAGTATTGATCTTTGTTAAAAAATGTCTATTTCTGAAGTTCTACCACCATAAGCTTCACTTTTGTAAGTAATGAGACCAGTAGGTGACACTCCAGTCAATATTTTAATAGTATGCCTCTTTTTGTAGTCAGAGTAATTTTTTAGCCTACAACAAATAGATTTGGCTTGCTGTATTGGGATTTCGGTACAATCAAGTAGTACTCTTACTTACATAGAGGCACATTATTTAATATTTCTTGTTTTGAAGGCCTAATTATACCATACTAAGAACTTCTACCAGTTTTATTAAAAACTGTTAAAAAATTTAATGATAAAAAGTTTCATTCACTCCAAATAAAATGGATAAGACATTATATCTTGCATATCAGTTTTCAACTTCATAAAAGTAAATATAACTTGATCCTTTACAGACATAACTGATCTCCTTTTTCCTATTCTTTAGAAACAACTCTGCCACTAATTCCACAATGGTGGCTAATAACTGGAAGGATTGCAATCCTATTAAATTAGATAGTTCTTTAGCACTAACAATTCTGTTTGAAAACGGATCAACTAAATCACCACTCTTCACTTGTGTTGAACAATCGATCCCAATTTTCTGCTTTTTAACAAAGTTTTGTAAATTAAGCAAAGCTCTTCAGCAGCACACAAATCTTCATTATTTGCTTCAGTAGTAGATATATGTTCATTAACTGCAAAAACACATTAAACATAATAATAATTAACCAAACATTTTAAATTATGCATACGTACATCCATTGCCTGAAGAAGATAACTCAACACTTAACATTCTACTAGTACTGGCAACATATCATTATTAAAGACAGTAGCCATAATTCTTGTTTTAGCTGGATTACTTTTCTTTTAATTAATAGTCGCTTTCTTTTTACCACTAATCTGAGCTAACTTACATCGACTAAGCTTAGTTGTACGTTCTTTTTGTGATTGTAAGTCAGAATCTTTCTTTCCCCCTTACCGATGCTAAGGTACATGGATCTTGACGTCAACTAAGATTGCACTTTGTACCTAGTTCATTTTACTATGATGTTGATTAGATTTCCACTGGTGGAATCTTAATATTATTCATCAAATCATTCACATTCACCGCCAAAATAATCCTTAATTGTCTAAAGGGAACAAACTTTAGAATGTGAAAAAGCTACTAACTTTTAGTAAAATCTTTAAAAAGTTCATTCAATTTTTGCATAATATCTGCTTTTATAATGCGAAATAAATTTTAAAAGAATAATCAAGTGTCCGAATAGTGCCACTATACAGTGGTCGTGGTCTAAAGTTAGTTATATACACATGAGTGTCAAATTGTTTATATCTATGTTCAAAATTGGTTAGATCTCTTAAAATGTTTTAAAAATTGGGAAACTAGACGTTATGACTCAAAATCCTTTTTTAAAATACCTAACGCAAGCTGCTGTCTTAAAATAAACATACAGATAATTTTTTTTTTAATTTAATTCCTACTTTGATGAAATATGAGTTTTAAACTCATTTGGGCCAGACCGATTCTGCCTGGTGAGCACTCGGCAAGCCAAGCAATATGACCCGTTTTTCGTCGTATTGTTTATATATGGATGAGCAGTCTATTAATCTATATATGTCATTGGTATTACATAGTCCAAATGGAATGACAATCCAAATACGGTGGTAAAAGCTGTCTTTTCTTTGTCTACTGGGTCCATTTCCACCTGCCAATATCCACACTTTAGGTCTAAGGTAGAAAATAGTTTACTTCCGGCCAATGTGTCCAAGGTATTGTCGATTCAAGGGAGAGGGTAACTGTCTTTCTTGATAACATTATTCAACTGACGATAATCCACACAAAACCTCATAGTTCCATCCTTTTTCTGGACCAGTACTGCCGGAGAGACTCATGGGCTAGTAAAAGGTTTTATCACCCTGTCTTCCTTCATTTCCTGAACAATCCTTTCAGCTTCCTCTCTTTTGGCTTTTGGTAATCTTCGAGCTGATTGACGAATCGACCTGGCGTCGCCAGTGTCAATTTTGTGTTTTACAACCGAAGTTGCTTCAGCAAAAATGTCACGATATCGACGAAGAAATTCCTTTATTTTCTTTTTCTCTAATTGATTTAGAGATTAACCAGCAACTGAATCATTAGCTCGAATTTTTCGTTGGAATTATCAGAAGTTGTCTGACGAATTATGGAAGTTACTGGTACACAAGTTCCGATTCTGGTCTCTTTCTTGATGGTAATTGTGATCATTAACGTTTATAAGATAAACTGGAATCTCTTAAGCAGTCGTGACCAACCCCTTTCCAATCAGAATTCCTCGTCCAACCTCTTCATCGTGGTTCCAAGGTTCCATCATTACAAGTGTTCCTTCTTCCATAATTTCTTGAAGCCGTGTTACTATAACGGTTTCACTTCTTCCAGGTACCACCGTATCCTCCTGTACATCAACCGGCACGGTATTGTCCCCATATGGATGTAGGAATACCTCTTCGGTACCAACTTTGATTACTCTGTTCTTAAAGTCTAACTGGAAACCATGTAAGTTCATTACATATATTCCAAGTATAACATCTTCTTCGATATCAGCGACAATAATAGTACGAGTTTTTAATAAAATATTAATTTGAGAAAAAAAATTATTTGGTTTTATTTTATTTCATCTTTTTATCGAAACATTTAGATTTGACTCAAATTAATAAGTAAGGAAACTGTATGCGGAAATACCAAAACCAGTTTGTGTAACTCAATTTTTTCTGCACTTCTCGAATATGTAAACGGATTTTCAAAATTATAATATACAGGATGTTGTTTTAGGTATCAAAGAATACAGTGTGTTTTAAAAGTTATGAGCCTAGAAAGAAAACGACAAAATTGATTTGTTATAATAAAAACCATGGAAACATGAAACGAAAAATTTTATTAAACCGATCAGATGTTTTCAAATTTTCATTTTAACTACAAATAAGCATTGAAGGATAAGGTATAAATGTATAAATAAAATTTCTACCTCTTGACCCTGTACTATTTTCTGCAAAATAAATTACTGCACTTCTCTATACTATAGTATGAAATAGGCTCTGCCTAGGGGTGTCATTTTGTTGATATGACGATAAATCTGTATCCCCACCAGATCTCGGAAATTGTATTAATTTCAGTTAAGGAGGGGAGAGGAATGACGAATGACGAATGACAGTTCAAGATATGACAAAAACATTCCCTAGAATAAAAATCGACCTGATTTTAAAAATTGAAAAAAAAATGTCTCCTTCAAAAGATACAGCCGCTATTGGCCCTTAATCACACGATACTCAAAAAGAACTAAAGGATTTTAGAAGAAAAAAAAAACAAGATTTATTATAACTGTATTTTATACTAGGTTTAACAGGTTGTTAGACAAAAACCAAATTCTAGTCTAACTGCATCGCGATGGAGCAGGTACTACTACGCGTCGTCCAATACTTTTGTTACCATTACACCTATCCGTCTTACATGATCTACATGAAATCATTCTTGCATTTGTATTTATTGGTACTTGAGATGATCGGAACCATTCACAATATGACGAGGCGTTCGAATTTCTTGGTTTTTCCCAACATCGTCGTTGTATTAACGGTAGTGCACCATCTGTAAAATAATTAAACAAGACGCAGTTTAGTGCTGTATATATTGCTATTTCGGTTATTATAAGAGTTACACAATCGGTTAAATGAGCCATGTTTCACATGATTTTATAACCATTTTAAAATTTCTGTTACATTTTTTTACCAATTGTTTTGGTTTTTGAAACAATCGCGAAAAAAGTACTTGTTAATGGGGAGACTTATTTTACAATTAAGGATAGACAGGAATTTGTTGAAGTGGACTAAAATAGTTTTATGCAGATTAATCCAACACAAATTCAAAGTTTTATATGACAAATGTTATACTCCTTCATGGTAAATAGGGAAGGTATATATTTTGTGGTTATTTGTTGTGGCACTCCTTAGAGTTTTTCAATTTTATACAGTGTGCCTACTCAAGTTGGAACCATATGGAAAACTTTTTTATTATTGGTTTTGTGAAAAAATTTATTTATGATAAAAAGTTCTGCATTGCCCAAAACTTAAAATGCATTTATCAGATATAATTTTTTTTAAACCGTATACGAGATTTGTCAAAAAATATGTTTTTTGCTGAAGTGTAAATTACTTCGTATACGACTGATAATATTTTATATTCCATGGTTGTATTTTAGTTTTTAGACAATGTTCGACTTTTTGTGAAGAATAACTTCCGTTCCTAATATTAATAACTAAAAAGTTTTTCATATGCCGCCAACTTACGTAGACAGTTGGTGACATATGAAAAACTATACGAGGTTTGTCAAAAATAAAGGTACTTCACTATTTAGCAATATTGATATTTTTTGAGAAACCTCGTATATGGCTTAAAAAAATGATATTTGATCGTGAAGTTTTGGACCATTCAGAACTTTTAATCAAAATTATTAATTTTTTTTCACAATATCAATAATAAAAAAGTTTTCCATATAGTTCCAACTTGAGTAGGTATATTATGTAAAACTATTTGAGTCCATTGACTGTTTTTTGCATGGATTTCTAATAGTTTTTTGTATTAAACATTTTATCTACGTTTTCCCGTTTAATTTAAGCGAAGTATTATTGAATTTGCAAAAGTTAGCTGTTACATCACACAAAATGTAAACTTAGAAAAATTGTCAAAACAAAAATTGAGCTGGCATTTTTATATGTAATATGCATATGAATACAAAATTTGATTTATATAAGTAGGTGCATTCTAAAAGATACAAGTTTGTGTTCTTTACGCGCTCACTATACGTATTTAGTCAACTAATTATTTTTAGTACACAACTGATACCAAATTTCATGACATTTGATTGTTGCTTAGATTTGTATTTTAGCATTAATTAATTTAATCGTTTTAAATTTACAAACTATGAATAAAGTTTTCAAATTTCTTCCTAAACGATACTAATGCCGGGCCTGCTTATGTAAATTCGTTGTCGGTCGAAGCCTAGAAAACCGAAGAAGAAAACTATTCGACGATTATTAGCAGTTTTAAAGTATTTCTACTCACTGCCGAGGACCGCCACGTCTCGGGATATCTACGTCGCTGAGAGTTATACCCATCTCTTTCTTGCGCAAAAAGTGATTCCTTGTGTGCCGGACGCAAGCCTTAAGGACGACTTACCCAAGTCCGACTCAGGTAAATTCTGTTTATAAATACGGACCTTAAACTCAAACAAATAATGATTGAGAGTGAAAGCAGGTAGAAATACGACCAAATCGGAGGCGTGCTTATTATTTTTGAGAGGGTACAATTATTTAAAATATTCATACAATTTCTTTTATTTATTTCATGAAAACTTTGCAATATCGTAATTTACCTAATCGTTGTAGTCATTAGTGGGGCTTTATGAAAACGGAGTAATAATTGTGGTAATTATAGTAGGAACCAAATAAATTAAGAATATTAATAAAAATCACAATATATATTTCAAATTAAAAATAAGAAAGATACCTAATCAGGGGTTGGTTTGGTGACAGAAACAATATTATCAATTTTACTATTTTAATAATGAATTTAACTTTATTTCACAAATTAACGTATATTTATATATTATGTCGCGGCCGAAGTCAGTAAGGAACTGTCTCTTAAGTTTCTTCTTGGGTTACACATACAGAAGTATTACTTAAATTTTAAATTAAAATCTCAATGACGGATATTGCATATCCAATGCAATTGATATTTTTAAATTTTTATATTTTTTAATATTTTTATATTATATTTAGTTTTTAATTTACTTCGCTTTGTCTATAAAATATTTGTAATTTTTCAATGACAATAAAGCATACCTCTATATATATATATATATATATATATATATATATATATATATATATATATATATATATATATATATATATATCTCCCGGTTTACCTGCAGTTCCTCGAAACTAGCCAGCCTTACCCAAGAAACCCTAATTGGGTTCGGCCAACATTAAAAGACATTATAAAGCTTAAATTACTATTTGATTGGTACTTAAATCATAAAAGTTTACACGCACCTATCATTTCGGAAATCCCTAAGTAAGATAATTAGTTTGGATATAACCTACAGGATTATGTTTTCTTGACCGCCAAACGTAATAATAATAATAATAATAATAATGTTTATTTCAAATTTATGTAACAATGTACAAATTGATACAATAATAATAATTAAATAAATAAACATTTGTATCCTGCTGAGACATTGTTCATGTCTGTGTACAGGAATTAAAAATACAAATTTATATAATAATTTCTAAATGCTAATAGTGAATGGTAAAAATAAAAATTATACCTAAATATATAGACTTCTTTTTGTGTACAAATTTTCTTCTAATCTTCAACCTCAGATTCGTCACTGCTGCTACCGCTATCATCAAAGTTAATTATGATTGGTTCAATATTGTGTTCAATACGGTTGTCTACGTCCCACATTTTTTGCTCTTCTTTTAAAACATGCTGAATACATTTCTTCCAGTCTTCTGCAGAAACATTTTGAATGGCTTCTTGTAGGTAACGTTGCACGTCCACTAATTTAAATGTTCTGTTTTCTCGTGCCACATATCCTTTTACTTGCGCCCAGATTAATTCTATTGGGTTTAATTCGCAGGGGTACGGTGGTAACCTTAATACTGTAATTCCACGACTTAACGCCATTTCATCCACTGCGAATTTTTTATATTTGTCTCTGTGTAATTTTGTTAACTGAAGTAGTTCTGCCTTTAAACTATCTTTTTTATATTGGATGTTTTTATTAATTAACCATTCTTGAATTGCTCGTTTTTTCCATGATTGTTTCGGTAATGATTCTAAATACCGACTATGATATGGGGCATTGTCCATGACGACGACAGACCCAGGTTCCACAAGTTGAATGATGCCTTCAAACCATTTTTCAAACACCTCTGCATTCATCTCTTCATGATAGTCGCCTGTTTTCTTGGATTTAAATATTAATTCACCATTTGGTAAAAATTCACTGTCGCTTCCTATATGCGTAACTATCAGACGACTACCTTTTCCAGACGGCTGTTTTAACCCAGTTGACAAGCCTTGTTGGTTATTCGGAGGTACATCCGTAGAATTACAGCACATATGCACTAAGTTATCTTTTGGTCGCTGATGATCTCTTTCAAGACAGTGAAATACTCGAAGTACAATTTGTTTTTCACTTAGCGACCGAGACTTCGACCGTTTTACCTTTTTCGACGTTGAGGACCCTTCAATGTCTTCCATTTTTTGCATAGTTTTAGAACGGTGTAGAAATATTATTATTTAATGTTTAAACACTTATTAGCACTAATATTTTCACCAATTGTTCTTACAACACGTTGATTACTTACTAACTTAACTGTAAAACTTACAATTCACACCGTATAATTCAAAACCCGATGTTACGCTCGTGGTTAGAAATACACTACTGAGAACGTCATCGACGAGATGGATTTTACGGGTAACAGACAAAGACACAAATATCGCTCCGTACACCGATGCCATTAGTTATAACAAATACTAAACAATCCATAAAATAATTAATTTTAAATGATCAAGAAATGTATAAGTATTACTCATTACTGATTTTTGTTATAATTAATATCTTTTATTAGTACTATGATTGTATATTATCTATAATTTGCCACAACTTACAACTCTACTACTTACTCTATTTTGATTCTGCTAAAAACTAGTAAGGTAAAATTGAGATATGACAACACGGTTCACTCTCAATCATTATTTGTTTGAGTATAGTTCAACTTACTTTGGTATTCGATGTAGGCTTCGTAACACTGCGTTCGACAACTACTGGTCAAATCTCTACTAAGGATACTTCCACAATTAGTCAACGGGCCACCCGTGCAGTCAAAGCAGTTAAACTGTGAAAACACTGGAAATAAAAAACTAAATTAATAATAAAATTATAAAATATTTATTTTTTATCTTTTCGATAGGTACTTGCTTTTTAAAATAAGTACTGTTGAGATATTAAATTACAGTATGAAGTAAAGTATAACAATATTCGATATACGTCCCTATTAAGAATTATATCTGTCTTTGTCGACCCCTTTAATAGAACACAGTGCAGGTGAACACAACCAATAAGTTTTGGCAATGAGTGCAAAATTTGCCATAAAGAACGTCGCTTTGTGTTACACCTGCAAAGAAAGTAAAACGCCGAAAGCCAAAACTAGACGAACTTTTGATTATTTATTTACAAAATATACTCATAGCCCAAGAGCCCACAGCAAATTTTTACCGTCATCTGATAACGAAATGAAATATACCCCGAAAGCATGTAAAAACATTGAACTTTACCAAATGGCACCTGTGCCAATCCCAGTCCGGAACAAAGGGCTTAAAAAAATTATTTTATTTTAAAAAAATCACATAAAGCATGACAGCGCTAATTTTGTTTGCCCTTAAAGTTTTCTAGAAAATAACATTCAAATATATCTTGATATATATCGTTAAAGGGAAACATTTTTTTCCTCTTAACATCGCACAAAAACATCTATCCACGATTTGTAGGTAAACATCATTAAAAATATGAATCAATTTTTGCTGATTTAAAAATTTATTTGTATGCTTATTGTTGTGATTCATTTTTACAGGTTGCCATAGAAACGACAAAAAAACTACTATGATTATGGTTTAAAAGAATTGTCTAACAAGAGTTTATAGTTATTATTGACTATCTCTGCAAATGGTCTATACAATGCCATTTTTCTTCCTTTCACACATAACCATGGTTTAAAAGGTAGGTAAAAATATTAATAATTCAGGTTTAAAAGCTAGGTTCACAATGAATTAGGGTTATAATTTTCAGGAAAAACACAAGTGTCGCTGTCATGTCTTATGTGATTTTTTGAATATAAAATAATTTATTTTAACCATTTTGCTAAGGATAGGGATTGGCGTAGGTGCAATTTGGTAAAGTACAATGTTGTTACATGCCTTTGGAGCATATTTCATTTCGTTATCAGATAATAATAATAATAATAATAATTTTTTTTTTACTACTAACATGAGAAATCACCATTATTTACTCCATTCCTCTAATGAGAAGTAATATTTCTCTCCCTAGGTAAATAATGATAATAAAAAAAAACCTAGGTAAATAATGAAATTAAATTTCATTAGTTTCATTTTGTTAATTTGACAACTAAACTCCCAGACTACTTGATATTTTGAAATATTTGAAAAATAAGTAGGAAATAACTAAAGCTGGGTTTATCAAATCTAATCAAATCAAATATGATAATATATATCAGTGTAAACAGTAAAAATATATATTAACTAGGAAATTCAACACCGGCTTTAAAAATTATTAATTAATAACAATAAATCCATGTCATTAAAATATTAAAAATGCAATGGGATATTTCCTAGAATCATACCAAAATTTGACACATGCCAAATTTTTACATAAATAAAGCCAGTCTGATTAGAAACACGCTCCAGTCTGCTTGATATTTCGAAATATTTAACAAATTGTTAGGAAATTACTTATGTCAAAATTAAAATTGCTAATACATTAATGTTAGTAGTAAAAAAAATTCTATATATACCTCGGCTGAGAAAGCTATTATTTACCTCGCACATTATATCCCTCGGCGCTACGCGCCTCAGGATATAAAAGTGCTCGGTAAATAATAGCTCACTTCTCACCCTAGGTATATAATGTACTATTATTCACACACAAATAATTACAAGTAACTGCGAATTATACTTAGTAAAAACAATTCAATGCATAATGTATGTAAATAAAAATGAAAACACCCACAAAAGGATTAGGTACCTGAGCGTGGGCATGAATTTCATTTTTTAAACAACAAACTGATACAAAATTATAAAATAAAAACAATTAATTATAAAACATTATAGATAAAATACTACTTACTACAAAATATTCTTAAATATAATTTAAATTTTTCTTAAACATTTTTTAGACTGTAACAAGCACCATCGGAATTTAAAAATTGTTTTAGTTTAATAAGAGGTATCCCTGAAATCCATTTTATAACTTTTTTTTTAAATAAAGAACGAGAGTTAATTTTTTTGATATTGGAAGGAATATCGTTATATAACTTTGGACCCAAATATGTAAAACATTTTTGTCCAATTGTTTTTTCTACTCGAGGTATAGTAACAGAATCGACTTTATATCTCGTATTGTACGTATGAGTGATATGTCTGTTCTCTTTACTGATTTTGTATTGATTTAACAGTAATACTTTAGTATAGAGCTGATACATGTTAAATATTTGTGTTTCTTGGTAAAGTGCTGTAGAAGGGTAAATTCGAGGTTTATTATACATATATTTTATTATGGATTTTTGTATTTTTTGTAGATTTTCTAAAAGAACTATTCCAGCAGACCCCCATGCTATGAGTCCGTAATATAAATGAGATTCTACAAGTGCATAATATAATATTTTTAAGTGATTAATATGTAAAAATGTTGATAGATTTTTAAATTTATATACTACAAAACGTAGTTTCTTTATTACATAATTCACATGTGCGTCCCATTTCAAATGACAGTCAATGTATACACCTAGATACTTTATGTTATTGACAGATTGAATATATATTGAATGTTTCTGATCTATTTTAATTTTTATAGGGTGGTAAGTTATTACTGTAAGATGAGAATGGTACGTAAAATGTTTTATTATAATTTATTGTCAAAGCCTTGTAATGGAAAAAATTGACAATTTTTGGAAAGTTTGCCTCAACGGTATTCTTTAGTGACTCCCAATTACTTCATTTATAGAAAACTGCGGTATCGTTGGCAAAACTGACCACTTCACCTGCGACGTGTTGTTCAAATAAGTCATTTATATATATGTTAAATAGTAGTGGACCGAGTACTGTTCCTTGAGGAACACCACAGGTTATAATCTTAGGATCACTTAAGGTACCGTTAATATCGACTAATTGTGTTCTGTTATGAAGATAGCTCTTCATTAAATTGTAGACTACGCCCCTAAAACCAATGTTTTCTATTATTTCTAAAAGTTTTTGATGGTTAACAGTATCGAATGCTTTTGCGAGATCAACAAAGATGCAAAGTGACGGTTGTTTTTGGTCTATTGAATTATTGATTATTTTTGTCAATCTCGCAATAGCATCTGAAGTTGAGGTGTTTTCCCGAAACCCAAACTGTTTGTTTGACATGATTTCATATTTATTTAAGAATGATAACATTCCCTTTTGAATTATTTTTTCAAAAATTTTTCCTATACTGGAAATTATTGAGATCGGTCGGTAATTAATTACTTCGAGCTTATCTCCTTTTTTATAAATGGGGATTATCAAAGATTCTTTTAGAGAATCTGGAAATTTTCCATCACTAAAGGATTTATTTATTAGGAAGGTCAATACTGGTGATATTTCATTGTTTATTTCCTTGAGTATTTCAGACGTTATATTATCCAAACCAGGTTTTATTATTATTTTTAAGGATGTTTGTCGTTTCTGAGACTTCCTTACCGTTTGTATTTGATAAATATATACTTTTATTATTTTGTTTTATTCTAATGTTTAAGTTCGCCGGTGTAGCCATTTTTTCCCCAATTGTTGTATAGTGTTCACAAAATGTTTTTCTCTTTAATTGATTTTACAAGTCCAGAAGTGATCCATGATTTAATCTTTATTTCATTTCTTTTTAATTTTACCCGTTTAGTACAACTTTCAATATAAAATTTTAATTTATTTTTGAACAATGAAGTGCTTGTGTTGTCTTTTGAATTATAGACGTCAGCCCAAGTTTCAAATTTAATTTTTTCTTTTAGGTCCGTTTTATTTAAAATGTGTTTAAAATTATCTACAGAATTTTTGTAATATTTGGTTATGAATAAAGTATTTGCTATAGAAAAGTGATCTGTGATATTGGTTTCAATTATTGCTGGAATATTAATATATTTTTCTTTGGTTTTTATAAAAATATGATCTAAACATGATTTTTCGATTCCTACGACCCTTGTATATTTATCTATGTAACTTATAAATCCTTCCTCGCTTAGTGTATTTAAGTAATCTTGTATATTATTGTCTTTATTTAAAATATCCAAATTTATATCTCCTGTTATAATGTGGATGTCAACGCTTTTGCTGTTTTTTAAGTATGTCGATAAGTTATCTATGAATATTTTTTCATTAGAAGGACAAGGTCTATATATACCATTAATTAACAAACATTTATTTTGGATTTCCACAATTATTTCAATAATATTTATTTCATCAAATTTGACGATATTATTATTATTATTATTATTATTATTATTATTATTATTATTATTATTATTATTATTATTATTATTATTATTATTATAATTTGATAAGAGCAGGGGCCATAAGACCCATAAGCCCATATTAACTGAATATAAAACAATATTACTAAAAACTAAATCAATAACAGGTACAACCGATGAATAAACAATGAAACAAATGAAATGTTAATTAAAAAATAGAAAATTATCAAGTTCGTTCTTAAAAACATTGACAGATGGAGCATTTACAACATTCTCCGGTAGAGAATTCCAAGTGTGGAATATTCGATTAAATAAAAAATTTTGCCTCGTTTTCGTAAAAAATTGTTCTTTTTTCAGCTTCCATTTATGGCCACGTAGTCGATTTTCACTGTTCACGATGAACATACATTTTAAATTTCCAAAATTATATTTTAAAATACGAAAACAAATTATTATTAAAAACAGTATCGTAATTTTCTTTCGCAAATAAGACTACGCCATCACATTGGTTAAAGACACCTTCATTATAAAATAATTTGTACGCCGGCAATCTAAATAACGATGTATCAGTAATTTTTCTTGTTTCAGTGAGAATTATAAAGTCAAAACTGTTACTTAGCTGGCTTAAATT